CTGGGATTGCAGTTGGTTGTCGATATGATGTACAAGCACCCTTTGGCGTTGTTTCTCTTTCGACCACCTGATCCTGATAGCGCACAAATGACTGCTAATTGACATCCTTGAATCTTAGAAATGCGTGAGTTTATTCTCCTCATTGTGCTACCGCCATTGGTCACTAAGTGGGAGAAGCGGTGAACTTCATCCAACTCGTGATCATATGTAACACAGCTGATTCCCAACAATAATGACACGATCCTCCACGTCTGTATACTGCATGGCTAAGCATCCTCATTTCAAATGTACCATATACACGACCAAATTTGATGAAGTTTAAATCATAGAACCTAGATTTACAACATCAGAATCAAAAACTTATTATTGTGAGACAGCTCGCAAATTTCGATAGAAACACACGATCGCGGATTGGGGGAACATTACCAGAATCTAGTTCACCCTAAGACTAATTCAATTTTGATTTTGTTTTGGCGGATCATTACTCGTGTTTGAGCTGTAAATAAACGAGAGCTTCAGGGGGATTTGAGGTCATGCGTGGACGCCACCGTCATTTTGTACCACGTACACTCTGACAACAGAGTTACGAGGGTACACTGACAGCTCTCATTTATCAACATTTGGTCATCCACTAAAAGTAGAGTTTATTTGCATAGAGATGCACATACGGTGGGACAGATAACCGTTAGACGTTTTCAACACTAATATAACACGTATGATTTGAAAAGACACCGGACACCGGCACAGCTCACTCACGTGTTCATCCATCACGTCGAAAATATAGGTTTGACCTTTGTGAATTACCGCAATGTGTTTGGCCGACGATTCGGAGAACAGCTCGTCTCTGCTTGGTTTTGGAATTCGCGTGCCATTGAACATACTGGGATATTGACTCATATCTAATGGAAAGGCCTAGAATATCAATTTGTGATGGAAAACAACAACAACGCAATACATAATGAGCTCAAGCTTTGAACGATCAAAATGAAAACTACATTCGAAGCAGTACAAACATGAGCCCGAACGAGCCTGTCAATTTGGGGGTTTAACAAAGCAGCTTGAATTGAAACGAAATAGTGGTCGACCCATCTGTTTATTGTTTGGCTTTATTATGCATGTGTACGATTTTGGTGTCAGTTTCATTCGGGCTAGTGACCGAATGTATCTTTATTCATCAACACCGATTTGTCAGGTTCGAAGTGATCATGGCACATTTGTTTGTACACAACCCACAACCACCAACCCAAATGAAAGGGACATAATTACCGGTTTAGATCAAATCACCTTGACTGCCAACGATGAGATTTGTAACAGTTACAGCCGGTTCCAGATAGCCAAACCAAAATCTGACATTCGTGACTGAATTAGTGGGTGAATAGTTACGGAATTACGCATAATTTGCAAAGTGCACGAGTTTGGGGAGGTTCTGTAGAACAGACGGTATTACCTGTTAGTGAAATACCATCTGGTTAATAACGCGTGATTAAAGCAGGTTAAAAACCAATTTAGAAGAGTAATTTATCACGGCTGTTGACGAAAAAGCCCTACGTTTCTCCGACTGAAAACCTGATTTATGTGCTCTAATTCGATGTTCAGTTCTGTTTAACAAGGAATTGATTGCCTTTAATTTAAATTCTGTGTTTGTAGTCAAGCGGTAAGCGTAGCTGCCACTGACGTGTTCCATGCTCTAAAACCCCACTTTTCACCCTGCCACTACACTGTTCTCCGACTGAATACCATACATATTTTGTTGGAACCTAGTATAAGTCACAAGACAGGTTCACAGCATACAAAGCAGAACGATACGTAACTAAGACTAAAAGGATTCATCCCCTATATTGTTGATTAGACAACAGTTAAACATGCAAACGAAATCTTTCTAGTATACCATATTGGATCCAAACTAGCATACACACATGCACGCACGTACGCACATATACACAGACATGGAATCAGTACACGCAGAACAAAAAACAATGGGCAGAGAGGAACTCACTTTGAACATATAGGCGGCATAGGTGGCGACAGATTTGGGAACGAAACGCATAGTCTGATGGAAAAACGGGGTGTCCGATTTTCGCGGGTCCAGATGGAACACGTCCGGCTTGAGTGTGTTCGAACGTAACAGTTTGGCGAAACGAAGTATTCCGTGAATCAGGTTTGTTGCACGAATGGATGGCTACGAATATCATCAGGGATGGATCAAGATGGGGAAAAAGGCGCCGTTTTATGTACAGTTTACTTGAATGCAAAAACACCCTCGGGATTGCAGAATTTTGGCAGGGGACCATCAATATGGGGATAAAGTTATAAAACGCATTGGTTGTTAAGACCTTTACAATTTATTTATTTTTCAAATCTATCCCTAAGTTTCACAAAAGCGGAATGGAGAAAACAACGCGCCTTCAAAGTGCAAACTGTTGGTACAACACTGGGTTGGTCCAGCACCCAACCTCTCTCTAACTGGGGAAGTAATAGACCAAGTGAGCCAGGTTTGTCATTTGGACAGCTTTATCTCAGCCGGTGGACGCATCACGGATGAAGTATTAACTCGCGTACGGAAAGCTCCATTAGCATTTGCCAACTTGAGACATCTGTGGCGTCGTCGCGACATCCGGTTATCCGTGAAAGGCTGAGTATATGCTATGGCAGTTCAGCCAGTTCTGCTATACGGCGCAGAAACTTGGCCATTAAGAAAACAGGATAACAATAGACTATCGGTGTTAGAACACCGCTGTCTACGCAGCATTGCATGAATCTGGTGGGGCAACCGGACGAGCAATGCTGAAGTTAGGTGCAGGGTTTTAGGCAATCGCAGTCGTCCACTGAAGCACGTGGTTGACTTTCATAGATTACGTCATTTGTGGCATGTGCTACGCCTGTTACCGCATAGATAACCACAGCGTGTGACGTTGGCCCAGGCAGATAGTGGGTGGAATAAAGCCAAGAGTGGTAAACCTAAGACCTGGCACATGCGTATGCAAACCCTAGCCAGGAGATTTGGTCACATAGGTCGTGTTAGGCTCCCTGAATGGGGACCTCAAGATCGTGCTCGTTGGTGACTAGAGAGTGATATTGCTGAGTATCGTAAACAATGTTGTTTGCGTATCTACTCAATTTCTTTGTAACATTAGTCCGCCCAAATTCTCTGTTCCCTCTTCTACTCTACTTCAACCTTTCCTGTCTTTCTCCTGTTGCTTCGTCCAAATGATCAACCTGAAGACAACTAAAACCGGCGTACGAAAGTGCATGGTTAACGGCTGTACAAACTGAAAAACTGGAACTGGTTGCATAACAACGCATCTTGTTCAAAGTGAACTATGCAGTTCACTAAACCGTGTATCCCACAAGATAAACATTCATTATTGTCTAAACACCTCGGTGATTGTGTTACACGTGCAACTCAGCGGTCTAAGTCTGAGAACTCACTTGTTCATATCCTGGTCCTCGTTCTGTATCCTTGAACACAATGACTGGATTGTGAGTGAGCACAACTGGACGACGATCTGACAGATACATATCAAACCACATTTTTGTAATGTAGCTTGTGTGAGTATTTGTTCGAGCGAACTCCATCACGGTCTTTTGCAACGCAGGCCCTCGGATTTTCAAAAACTTCTTGGCTGCGCGTGTGGTCTTTTTTAACTGCTCCGGATCGAGAATCGCCTCCTAGAACAGAACACAATGAAGTTGACGCCCCAAACCAATGAAAAGATGATGCAAATTTTGACAGTAGTTCGAAGAGACAATGCTAAGCAGGATGACTTACTTGAGACTTCAAATATCTTAGGATCGTATCTTCTAGGGCAGGCACTTTTAATACCGGCAGACTGGATTGGAAGTGATCGGTAGTGAGCACTGACTTTTTTAGCGCAGCATCCTTGCCGGAGTTAGCTGCTCTTTTCAAAGCTGTCGTGGAGAAGCGAGCCACCGTGTGGTACCGTATGAGGCAACCTTGCGTGCAGGCCATTGTCATTGACAGGGAGGAAAAAGCCTAACAATACCAGGCACACCAGAGCAGTAAACAAAGCTGAAAGATAAACAGATTGACATTTGTCGACATTTCGATAAGCGGTCATGAGGAAGGAATTTTCATTCAAACAACTATTCCACTGGGTGGGCTTGTCCTAGGAAAAATAGGGACAGGGATGAGTAAAAGAAAACAACCATCGCACGGTAATTTGAGGAAACACTTCTCCGGTTCATTAGTCTATACGAAACTTCTATATTCTTCTTTGGTCTGTTCTAAACATTACATTTTCATTCTGCTCATTTATTCAAGTAAGTAACTGAAAAACAGCAACCCCGACCAGCGCCCGGCAATGCACGATTAATGGTTGTAAAAAACCGAAATTGCCAAGTGAAGGAAACCGCTTACACATCTAGCCTCCAGAGGATACAGAGAGATTTAGATTTAGATTTATAATAAACAGCAAGGGGTTGATTCCAGGAAAGATATTCCGAGACTTTGACGCCTACAGTGTCACTATCAGATGCCACAAACAAAGCCTGCTGTGGGTGTCGAATGAATTCGCTTTTTTATTACACACTTTCGTGTGATGAACAGCGAACGAGTTAGACCCCATAGTCACGATGATCTGCTGTTCAGTGATGGAAACCGGGAACCTAGGCCCCGGGACCTGGAGTGGTGAATCAAATAAGGCCCCGATAGGTTAGGCATGGTATTGAACCGAACGACAGTAAAGCTGCTTACCACCAAAGTTGGGCGGCGGTGGCGGGGCTCGAACTTCGGACCATAGGGTCCAAAGCACGCCTGTGACAGCGAGTAAACCACTGCGCTACTACCACCGTGGCCAATAACGACAGTG